TTTCATTGCGGTAAAAATACGGTTCTTACAGAAAACTCTTCATGGATAACCAAACATTGTCATGTAAAAGAAGTAACAGTAAGCGTATGTTTTGCTCACCTTTTCTTTTACGCAGTTTTCTATTCCGAAATTTGGAGTTTAATGAAAGACATCCAAGGTAAAGTTCACTAAATTTGACACTTTGTTGGATTATCTGTACTTATCTTTCGTTTTGAAGTAAAATTAACAAGGAATTGAAAGCGTAAAAATGTCAGCCATGGACAACTTTCTCGAAGAATTTTTCAAGAACGAAACTAGCCCCTGGGGTGGACGGTGGTGGGTTGTGTACATGTGACAAAATTCCTAAGTGGGAGAGTACTAAGGTCGAAAACAAAGACTCGTGCGAAGAAAATGATGTAGTGCATTTCCGTTTCATTTTTTAATTTCATGGTTTCCCTTCATCTTTCAGTTTTATCTAAATTGGGCTCTTTCTACTATTGGGAGCTCCACTTTTAGGCAGTGCCTAAATATATATATTAATAAGTAAAGTTTAAGTAAAGTTTGCGTAGGAGAAAACCGAAAATTCTGATGTAGAGTAGCTGTGTTCATGCTGCCGCAATTCATTAATGAAATACTGACAAGGAATAATATGAAAGACATCAAATAATTGGTTAACTGTACATCTTGCTAGAAAGCATTATAAAGTTTTAAAAATAAATATAACTTAGCTGCATTAACTTTAAGTTTCTCTAACGCCTAACTCTATCATTAAATATCTCATTATAACTACAAATAGAACGATTAATAAAACCTGTTCCCCTTCATATATGATTTATTTAAAGGAGTTACATGGTATTAGATTACCCAAAATCCTAGGGGGTGGCGCAAAATATGACATGTCATTCATTAATTATTCTCGCCCCTCTTCTCCTCCACGTTTATGAAAGACGTAATATAACGTTGAATCAGGGCATTAAACAGGCATGCGTAGTTTTATTCCATATACAATACACAAATCACTTTTATTTCCAGGGCTCCCATTGATAGCAAAGCTTTTTATTAGTTCTGAAGGGACTAACCTGGCTTTATTTATTTTTAAATAAAGGTTTCATTCATTCATTCTTCACTAACCCGTGTGCAATAGACCATTTGACCGATACGGCGACCATCTTGAATTCTATTGCTTTAATTGAGACGTTATGGGATGCAGAGAGTTCAATTATTGTGAAACTTATAGACTGCACAGCTGCCAGGATGTATTTTTACATAAGCACATCTATAAAGCAATTGAATTTACTGGTAGATGTAACAATATGCGAAACATCAAGACTTCAAATTGTTTGAAAACGTAACCCCGCCACACTATGCTTTATAAATTTCCTACGTGTTTGCCCCTCGGGTATCCCACAATTGAAGATGGCCGCCGTATCAGTAAAGAAGTCTATTTTAAAACATGCTAACAAAATTGTGACTTGCAAATTGTTCATAGACATCGACGAGTGTGCAAGCAGTCCCTGCCAAAACARTGGAAAATGTACTGATAGGACTAATGGCTACTACTGCGACTGCGCTGCAGGATTTAATGGTACAAACTGTGAAAATAGTAAGTATTCCAACAAGACAGTCTTCTGTAAAAATCACATTGCTTTAAAATGTGTGTTGTTGAGGTATCGCGTAATCACTACTATAATCCAAATCATGAAAGGTTTCATGAATGGTATATATCATGGGTAAAATTATATATCACGGGTAAAATAGTATATCAAGGGTAAAATTGTATATCATGGGTAAAATTGTATATCATGGGTAAAATCATATATCACGGGTAAAATTATATATCACGGGTAAAATTATATATCACGGGTAAAATTGTATATCATGGGTAAAATTGTATATCACGGGTAAAATTGTATATAACGGGTAAAATTGTACATTACGGCGAAAATTGTATATCAAGGCAAAAGTGTATGTCAGAAAATATCGCTCTGGGATCCTCACGATATTCCGTCTGCGTTACCAGCGTGGTTGGTCCTTTTGATGTTGTAGTTCGAACACATCGAACTGGAATACCGAAGACGTGGGTTCGATCCCCGCCAAGGGTATTTGATATTTTTCTCTTATTCTCTCTATTTCATTACACACACTGAACGCATAATTTATTACTACTATGTATGTCAATGGAGTTGACAGATGTCAAAGAAGGGAAATAAGTCACAAGAGACACAAAGATAAGCCTTTATGTCGACGAAAACCATTTGTTACGRTCACGATACCATTTGTTATATTGGAAAACAAAATAGTTTTGAAGCAAACGGCGCGGCATAGCTGACATTTTCTTTAATTTTCTCCATCCATGGTACATAAGCCAGGCAGATTTTTGAGATATCTATCTATATATGCCTGTATCTCTTTCTTTTTTTCCTCTCTTATCATTTATACATGCAGTTATTTGGTGAAAAAGGTTGAAAATGCGAACAGCGAATGACGATCAGTGATTGGGGAATTCATGCCAAAAGTAATCGTAGGCATAAGTCTAATCACGAATAATGAAGGTGTTTTAAATGGCTTCGTCTACTAAAACGACACTAAAAATATCTCAAAAATAACGTCTGTGTTAATAAGGAAGACTAAACATTCCAACTATTCTTAAATTTTGGAATGACCTATTCCCTATCGCTTATAACCTATCGCCGTTTGCCACTTTAACTTTTTTTAAAGTAGCTGTATATCTGTTTGAATGTATAAAGCATATTTGTATGTTTGCGAATCGTATTAGACATAGATGAATGTGCAAGCAATCCCTGTTTGAATGGCGCCACCTGTAGGGATGGCATCGCTGGATTCACCTGCAATTGTCCCCGAGGATACACGGGGGTAACATGCAAAGAAGGTATGTCAGTATGTCACCTGTTTGCGAGAGGGTAATAAGGGAGAGGTGATAGGGGAAGAGTGCAAGAGTGTAAGGGTCACCTGGGTATTAATATAACGTCAGTTCTGGTGGAATTATAGTGACTAACAGCTACCAAAATAATCACTGTAAAAATAATAAATTACACGAAGATTTTTTAAGCCATCCCCCATTCTCATTCCCAGATCCCTCTCAGCGAGAAATGCAAGGTCAATTCCTTCGATATTTTGTTAAGAAGCTGAGAAGGCTTGGGTATGGGAATGCCCCCTAACCTCCCTACGCTAACATTTGAAAGTAAAAAGAAATAAAATAAACAAGATTCCTCCAAGGATCCACTTTAGGCAATGCCTGAAACAAAAGAAGACATAAGCAATATCGCCAAAGAATTTTTGTGCAAAAAAAAAAAGTAATAATAGCAGCGAGGGATCGAATATACTTCAGCTCAGCTATGATGATGTTTAACGAACATAAACTGACAGAATATTAATCTTTCCTCAGTTCTATGCGGTTAAAATTAGCTTATAGATTTGTTGAGCGATGGATTTTGTTATTTTTTGAAGGCAGACTCTAGAGGAAAAACGATGAGACATTTTACAACACGCTTRTTTTTATTCTTGTTACACTAATTGTTTATAAAGACTATATATACTGATTTTACAATTACGTTAGATAACCCAATGTAATACAGTCAATGTCATTAACGTTGTCCATCAAAAA